ATTCCAAGAATCAGAAGGAACATGAGCAGCATGTAAGAACGGTATTGCAAATATTAAGAGAGAAGAAATTGTATGCCAAACTTAGTAAATGTGAATTTTGGCTTGAACAAGTGACATTTTTAAGACATGTCATATCAAAGGAAGGTCTATCAGTTGATCCTTCAAAGGTTGAAGCCGTTGTTAATTGGAAACAACCAAGTAATGTGACTGAAGTTCGAAGCTTTTTGGGATTGGCAAGATATTACAGAAAATTTGTAGAAGGATTTTCTCGAATTGCAATCCCATTGACTCGATTGACACAGAAAAATGTCAAATTTGAGTGGACAAGTGAATGTGAGGAGAGTTTTCAAGAACTAAAAGTTCGATTAACTTCAGCACCTATTTTAACTATTCCTGAGGGGAGTGGGGGATTTGTGATTTATAGTGATGCTTCACATAAAGGTTTGGGCTGTGTATTAATGCAATATGGGAAAGTAGTGGCATATGCATCCAGACAGTTGAAAGAATATGAGAAAAAATATCCAATTCATGATTTGGAGCTAGCTGCAATAGTATTCGCTCTGAAAATATGGAGGCATTATCTATATGGTGAGCAATTCGTAATATACACGGATCATAAGAGTTTGAAATACCTTTTCTCTCAGAAGGATTTAAATATGCGGCAAATAAGATGGATGGATTTCTTAAAAGATTATGATTGTACAATCCATTATCATTCAGGAAAAGCTAACGTTGTGGCCGACGCTCTAAGTAGAAAATCTACGGGAGTCTTAGCTCATCTAATGATCCAAGAAATGCGATTGTTAGAGAAAATAGTGGATTGACATCCAACTCTGTCCATTAATGGTGTGGTAAGTATGATTGCCAACATTAAGGCGGAACCCCAATTAATCCAACAGATTCGATTGGCACAAAAGAAAGACCCTCAGCTTATAACAATTATAGAAGAGGTGAAGCAAGGAAAGAGAGATGAATTCTCTATATGTAGTGAGGATTTGCTAAGATTCAAAGGTCGGGTTTGTGTCCCGAATGATGAGTGTAAAGAAAGCTATCTTAGAAGAAGCACATCATTCTCGTTATACGATACATCTCGGAAGTATTAAAATGTATCAGGACCTGAAGAAAACCTTTTGGTGGAATAATATGAAAAAAGAGGTAGCACTATTTGTGTCTACATGCCTAACATGCCAGCAAGTAAAAGCTGAACATCAAAGGCCCGCTGGGTTGTTGCAGCCTTTATCGGTGCCAAAATGGAAATGGGAGCACATCTCTATGGATTTTGTCTCTGGCTTGCCTAGAACAAATTCAGGACATGATAGCATTTGGGTCATTGTGGACCAGTTAACCAAAGCTGCCCACTTTCTACTGATTTGCACGACGTACACTTTGGATCGACTGGCTCAGCTGTACATTAAGGAAATAGTGCGGTTGCATGGAGTTCCTATCAGTATTGTATCGGACAGGGATACTCGGTTTACTTCTAAATTTTGGGCTAGACTACAGTCAGCCATGGGGACGAGACTCGCCTTTAGTACTGCCTTTCACCCCCAAACTGATGGACAATCGGAGAGGACCATCCAAACCTTGGAAGATATGCTGAGGGCCTGTGTTATTGACCTTGCAGGAAGCTGGGATGACCATTTACCCCTGATTGAGTTTGCTTATAATAATAGCTTCCAAGCCAGTATTCAAATGGCACCATATGAAGCCCTGTATGGAAGAAAATGCAGGTCACCCATATGTTGGGACGAGGTTGATGAAAGAAAGCTTTTGGGGCCAGAAATTGTCCAGATAACCACAGATAAAATAGCATTAATTCGTGAAAGGCTCAGGACAGCTCAGTGTCGGCAAAAGAGTTATGCCGATAACCGAAGGAGAGATCTTGAATTTGAGGAAGGTGATCGAGTTTTCCTAAAAATCTCACAAATAAAGGGCATTATGAGATTCGGCAAGAAAGGAAAGTTGAGCCCACGTTACATCGGACCATTTGAAGTCCTGGAAAGAATCGGAGGTGTCGCTTATAGACCTGCCTTACCACCCGAATTGGCAAATATCCATAAT